GTTTGTTTGTTTGTTTTATTAATCTTCACTCAAAGGTATTTTTTCCATTGACTTTTTCAGAGAAAGTAGAAGGAAGGAAAGGAGGAAGAGAGAGAGAGACAAGCATTGATGTGAGACACATTGATTAGTTGCCTTCTGCACATGCGCCGACGGACTGGGATCAAACCTGCAATCCAGGTCCATGCCCTTGACTGGCAATAGAGCCCATGACCCTTCAGAGTGTGGGCCGATGCTCTAACCACTGAGTGCACTGGTCAGTGTAGATTTTAGTTTTCCTGTTCACTGCTGTATTCACCAAGCCTGGCACAGCACCAGATACAAAATCTCTGTCTTATAAATGCTTGTTGAATGAGTGGAAGAGTGTTGGGCTAATACGGAATACATTTTGGATCTTTTAAAACTGAAAAGTAATTAGATTTGGGTTCAAAATGATTTTTTAACCTTATATATGACATGCCATGCTTTAAAAAACACTCTAAATATTTTTTAAAAATTAGTAAACTTAAAAATTAAACTGTAGTCTTTAGGAAGCTCAGCCTTTAAGGGGTGAAACGAGAAGATGTTCGTTGTTTTAAATACACACGGTCATTTAGAACTAGTACCTGTCTGTCCTTCCTGAGCGCTGTGAGGTGTTGCTGAGCTGCACAGCCTCCGTGTGGGTGTGCAGCCCACAGCCACGCTTCTGGCAGGAGCCTTGGTCACTCACCCACTAACTCTATGATTTAGAGCCTTTTATTCCTCCTATCTCCACTCCCTCATCCTTTGGTCTGTAAATCAGGCATAACAATTTAGCAAACTTCATAGAATTGTTTTGAGGAGCAAACAAATTAGTATTAATAAAGTGCTTGGAATGGAACCGGGTACCTGACAAACGCTTGCTAAATTAAAACAGACTGTGAAATGCATCTTATATTACCCACCTCAGATGACACTTGTGAAATTAAATGAGATATTTGTAAAACTCCTAACAGTTTATCTGGTGAATGCTCAATCAATCTTTATTATTTATTCAATGAAGATGTATTAAGATATTATAGCTAACTACAAAGGTTTTAAAAATGAGCACACATAGCTCGGCCAGCGTGGCTCAGTGGTTGAGCATTGACCTATGAGCCAGGTCATGGTTTGATTCCTGGTCAGGGCACATGCCAGGGTTGTGAGGCTGACCCCAGTGGGGGGTTCAGGAGGCAGCCAATTGATGATTCTTTCTCATCATTGATGTTTCTACCTCTCTCTCCCTCTCCTTTCCTCACTGAAATCAATAAAAATATATATATTTAAAAATAAGCACACATAAGACAAGAGAGCAACTGAGTGATGTGCTCTGTGACAGGAACTGAAACTAAACCCAGACCGCAGAGAAGAGGAGTGGAAAAGGCTGCCTAATGGAGGCAGCCTTTGACCCGAAGTGGAGTGGAAAAAGGAGAGGGAGAGACTGACTTGTGTCGGGGCGGGGGTGAGTGGGAAAGGCCTAGAGAGCCTGAACTTGGGCTGCAGCTGCCAGGCTGGCAGCAGAGCGCGCTCCGTGAGCGCCAGGCAGCAGTTTCCAGAAAGCCTGAGTTCTTCCATCTGGGGTGCCCTGGCGGACTCGCCTCATGTCCCCTGTGCACATGCTTTCCTGAGCCTGTGTGCTGAGCATCTCTTTTGCTTCTGTTTGATGCCCTTTGGCCCAAGACTATACTACTCAGCTTTCATAACACTTTCTTAAAATTGCATTTCTTCTATAGAATGGCTGTGCCCCACTGCAAGGCTTTCCTGACAGGAAATGTGGCTCTAGAGCGTGAGCTCTCATGTATGCCCTGCTTCCTCTCTCCTGTTTTCTTTGGAATAGAGTGAGCTGTCATTTAACAAATAACGTGATAATGGGCCCAATTCTATCAGTGATCTAAGGTCACTAAAATACTGTCAGTATATACATTCTTGAGTTGCCAGGCTTAATACAAAAGATGCCTCTCAAGTCTCTAAAGAATGTAGTTTATTTTCAGAGCTTTTAAACTCAGTCCAGCTTTCCAAAGACTTAATATATTACGGACTAGTTTTCAGTCTTTTTTAGGCTGTGATCTCAATGTTTTTCCATCTCAGCTTTGGAACAACCAGTGAGTCAAGGATGATCACTTTGATTACCTGTAATCTTTACTCAGAGGTTTGTAAAAAGAAAAAAGCATAAAAGAATTGGTATATTTGAAGATATCTACATGCATGAACGTAAGTGTGATAGTCAGAGAGTATATTGCATTGGCTGTTGAATTCACTGCCCCAGATAGAAAAATTACATATAAAACTTTTAAAATACTATATGTACATAAGAGATTATCTTCAGAAAATTAAGGCATCCCTTTCCAAAGAGCTGTAGTAGTTTTAAAGGGTAAAAAAAGGGAAAGGGAGATAAAATAGACAACTTAGTATAGTTGAACTCAATAAATCCTAATAATAGCATATTAGAATAACATTTAGAAAATATTTTACATAAGAATTTCTATAAGACTCTTTACATATTTTTCTTTTGGACCTCAGAAGATCAAAGAAAGCTGGGAGGATGTTACCTTCATTGGATTTAGAGCTGTTTAACATTTGACAGTTCATTGAATAATTTCTATATAAGTGATGTGGGTCAGAGATAGCATTTACTAAGTCATAATAGTGTGCCAGCTGAATCATATTAACTCATTTAAGCCTCACCACATGCCTGTGTGGTCAGTATTATCCCAATTCTATAAATAAGGAAATAGAGGCTCAGAGATTAAAGGATGAGTTGCCCAAATCCTCTGACCCATGAGGGCAATGTTAAGACTCAAACCGCCCTAACACCTCATAACCTTTTTCTATTTGTAGTAATTGCCTTATCTTGCCTTGTTCATTATCTTGCCTTGTTCATCTTCTAGTCCTAGAATACCCTTAAGCTTTCAAAATTGGCCAACTCTAATTCTTTAACTTATATTCAAAGTATGAAAACAGAACTTAAGTCAAATTTACTTTTTTCAAAAAATCACCCAGCATCTTACATTAGCATTTCATGAAGAGCATTTTGTGACTGAGAAAGTTGGGGAATACAGAACTTGAAACCATAGTTTACCTGATTTTTTTAGTTCAGGACTTCTTTGGGTGTTTAACATACTGGTGTGAATACTAAATCTCTAAGGGGAAGACATTATTTATAGATATGGTTACATAAGCTATTTATTTGTCCATCTTTTTATTTTGATAGAATACCTCAAGGGATTAGTTTTCTATGAAACTACACATCTTACAAATGAGGCTAAAGATATTCCAAAGCTCCCTTTAAGAGTTCTATGATATGGCCCTTTTCCCTCTGACCAAGTATAGGCATTTGTGCTATGAGGTGAACTTGCTAAGGTTTTCTGGAAATCAATCATTCATTCATTCATTCATTCATTCATTCATGAAATATTTATTGATTACCAAGCACTATGGCAGGTTTTGAGGATAAAGAGACAAATAAGATGCAAATAAGACAAAGCTACACTATCTGCCTTCAGGATGAGAACATGATATGATGATGCACAGATAATAAGGGAGTATACCCAGAAAAGACATCACAATAGAGTAAGAGGGCAATCAGAATATGCAAAGATAGTAAAGACATATGAACTGATGATTATACAACTTAGGAAGAGAGAATTGAAACATTCATAAATAATAGCCTCATGGAGGACCTATCTCCTCTTTTCGGAGACAAGTAAGGCTTTCTGGAGGGTGAACACCCAGCCTGGGACTCAGGGATGTGTAGGTATTAGGTGAAGGGAAGACAGGAAGACAGGGGCCACATGAAGTGGCATCATGTGTGTGCACAGTGTGCAGTGGTCTCTGGGAGTTCTCAGTGGTCTCTGAGAGTTTGGCACTTGCTGGAATATAAAGTTTAAGGTGAGTATAGAGTTGTAGGGGTAGTCAGGGCAGTTGTTGAGGGCCTTTGCTGTCAGATGCTTGAACTTGGTCCTGTGATGAAGAGCCAATGGAACACTTGAAAAGGGAAGTGACATGTTCCCAGTTGCATTTTATACAGCTGTGGGGAAAATAGATACAAAGAGAGAAAAGAGAGCTAAGGGGACCAGTTAGGACAGTGCAGAAGATGTTGAGAGGATAGCTATGGGCCCGAACCAAGAGAATAATAATAGGAAAGCCGAGGAAAGGATGGATTTGAGAAATATTTAGTACTTAGGAGGTTTAACCTGCTCAACCTGGTGACTGACTAAAGGAGTAGGGTGAAAGAAAGGTCTTTATACCACAATCCTTACTGTACATTAAATTCAAATGGAGACTTTGAATAGAAGACTCACATTTAAGGACCACTTCATATTGCCAGTTCTTTGATTTAGGTTGTTGGGGTATTGCAAATAAATGGCAAATTATTTTTAATATAAATGTTATTATTAATCAGAATTATAAATAAGTTTATTTTAAATTTATTTAACCATAGAATTATGAGGCAAGCAATAGGTGGTATTTATACTTTCTGATTTAAGTTTAGTTGCTTTAAAATATATTTCTTGTTGAAGGAAAATGAACTAATGACCATTAGTTTAGATTTTATTTACCAGTATTATAAAATATCATTTAAAATATTCTTCTTTTTACCAAATCATTAAAATTGGTATAAGTGAATTTAAAAGATTATAAATCCACTCTGAACTTTTATCTATGCTAAGTGTTAAAAGCTCTGCTATCCCTCAAGCCAAGAAACTAATCCTCACAACACTTTCCTGCCGTCATGGTGAACTAGAAGCTTTCCTGAGTGGCTCTTAGCATTTCTTTCTGAATGTACTGTTTAAATCAGATGCCATCAGGTTAGAAATGTGGTCTTCTTAGGACCTGGCTCAAATAGTCCCCATTGGAAGTTGATATAAGTATGAACCAGAGCCCAGTTTCTTGCAGCTCCATCAGCAGGTGGTTCTAGCTGTACTGGCTTGGGGGGAGGGGATAGAGAACATTAAGGGAAGAAGGGGAGAACAAGGAAGAGTAAAGACAAGGAAGGCATCTCTTACCAGGTCCTTGTTGTATTTTGTGGTTGTTTTTAAACCAGGTGATCTGAGGCTCAGGGATGCCGTTAGCACGACAGTCTAGAGTAGTGGAGCTGCTGACAGCCACTGTGTGATCACTGAGGTTTCGCAGGAGGTATGGTGCTTCCTGATCTAGTGAATAAAGAAAAAGAATTATTACTCATCAGTTTTATTTTTTTATTGTATATGCAGTTCAACATTTGAAATATATAAATAACAAAACTTGACTATAAGGTTTCATTCATATTTGTTCCCTAAATTTCTCTCCTGTGATTAACCTACTGCTTCCTCTTTATTAAGATGGTACACTACATCGGAATGCATTAGAACACAGAGTAAAGTCATGAACTAAATTCTTATTTTTAGATTTTAATATCAAGGATTTTTTTATCTGACCATCTTCTTTCTTTCTTTCTTTTTTTTTGTTTTTGTTTTGAGAGAAGCATTTCTAAAACCTAAGGATTTTTGCATAATATTTTGGGAACTAGAAAAAAAAACATGATTTTGGATATAGGTTTGGACTGACATTTTCTGTAGATGTATAGCATGGTGGTGATGAGTCACTGTGAGTTTGTATGTGCTGGTATGGCTGTGTTCGTGAGGGCATGTTTGTGTTAATCAGCTGTCAGTAACCTGAGTTGCAAGGCAGCAGACCAAACAGGAGAATTTCTTGAACTTTGAAAGCTTTATTGATTATTTCTTTACTCCATTCCCTTCCCAAATGCAAGCCACCAAAGGATCCATTCAAGAGGCAGAGGTACAGACTTGTGGTTTTTGCACTATATAATAGTACAATAATGTATTTTATATTATTTTCTCTTAAAACATACAAATATGATACAATACAATTTATTTTAATAAAATGCCAACCCATATAGTACAACAAAATGAACTTAATACATTAGGATGCAATACATTACAACATTAAAATCTGACAAAGGAACAGCAGTACCCCCAAGGCCCCAATGAGCACAGTGTCTATTTAATAAAATAGTCAGTCCTGCTGATGTGTATACATTCTAGTTAGGTGGGTACTCAAGCTTTTAAGGTAAAAGAATAAAGACAACTCCTAATGTCTTTCCCAAACCCTCCCAAGCCATCCTTTTGCCTCCTTGTATTATAGCAAATTCTGGAAGAAATCAAAGAGTCTTGGCATAACTTACACATTCTGCATCACTGGTTTCAATTATGAGCTTTCTCTGACCATTTCTGATTTTCTCATCTTATTGTACTAAGACTGTGAGAGCAGCTTAGGAGCGGTTACAAGCTATAAGAGATGCCACAGTGCCATGGCTTTGGTTCCATGTCCCTGCAGGGTTCTGCCAAGTCCCCAAACCTTTCTCTTATTCCTGCGGGGAAACTCTCAGGGTTAGCATTCATTAAAGCAACTTAGAGATCTCAGGTCAAAAACTGTATTATCATACAACTTCTAAACATGTTGATATAGTATATATAACATGGTAGGGTAACTATGTTAGAAGAAACAGATTTCTCATTATACTTTGATTTCCATAGCTTATCATTAGTCTTTTCTCATTTTATACAAAATGAAATCTGAAGCCAAATAAGAATGCTGAAGGAAATGCTCTGATCTTTAAATGCTTCGGACATTGTGTGGAATGAACTATAGCAATGATCCGTTTGCCTGTTTCTGTGTGTCTTTCCTCATCTATCTTGCCCTCAAGCAGAGCCATTTGAATATTTCTGGGTCTGAATTCAGTGCAATATGTCAAATTGCTTTTACTGGTGGAAAATGCATCCATCTATCAAAATCTTTAAATTTGGTAACGTGCTTAATCATTACAATTTTTACATGGGAAAGACCCTAGACATGCCAGTGAAATACGGAAGAGAATAAAGAATAGTTTCATTTACTATTTAATGTCTTTTACAGTGGCAAGCCAACTTTGACATATCTCATTAAAACTCAGACCCAGTTTACCGAGTTATACTTTCAATAGTTTCTCTGAGCACATTTGCTATTTCCTGAGTACTGAAAATGCTAAAATAATCTATCATTGCCCACTGGCCTTATTATAAAAAGAAAGCCTGAATATAGGGCCTCCAGCACCCAGATAATTTTCATAGCTGAAAGTGGCAACATCATCAATCCAGGCAGAATTGTGCTTTCCTGGCAGGTGTATGTATGGAAAGCAATGGTTATGGAGACAAGAACATTTACTTTTAACAAAAATGTCATGAAGAATTCCCAAGGGCTCTATCTGTCCTACACACACTTCAGACAAGAGAAACAGCAGAAAGGCTGCAGAATAAACATAGCACTTTCAATCAAGTACAAGTTTACAGAAACATGCCTGAGATATACAGGAATATGATGTTTTTCTTTGTACCCATTTCTGAAAAAACATTCTATTATGAGAAAATTCTCTTTTTTGGCTAGTTTCTAAATCATCAATCAACCAAGGAATCATTTTTATCCAATTTTCACTTTATGCTTTATAGTAATCTCTTTTTGACATTTTAAATAAGAAAATTACACCAAACCCATATTTTTAAACCCAAGTTATTTGATGGCTATAGGTAGCTGCTTCCCAAAAGTTAACTGGAGCTGATCCCTTCATACTGAAAAAATCAGAACTAACACAATATTTCTGCCGGTTATCAATAGCCAAAGAGTGCTCCCAACAGGCTCTTCTCTTACTTTTCGGTGTTACTGCCCCAGAGATCCGCCAGCCCGATGAATACAGTGTCTGTTCTCCATTGGAATGGGGACTGAGGAACCAGCCTCATGCCCTCCATCCACTCCATCGCACTCATTCTCCACACTGGCTCTTTCTTTTCCCTTTTCCTGCTATCTTCCCCTTACTCCACACTTAAAAAAGTAAGTAATTAAAAAAAATTTTTTTTTTTCTTTTTGAAACTCTCTGGAAGGATTAATTACACAGTGAACAATTACAGCATCCTTAAAATCATCTGGTGGAAGTGCTTAAAATCATCTTCTGTGAATACGAGTAACCTTCCTCTCTCCATGAAAATTGCAATTGCAATTTTACAGGAAAGGAAATGATAAATTCTGCGTGTCCAATTCATCTTGCTTTCAAAAGCACCCCCCCAACCATTCCATTTGCTTTTTGAGCTTTCCTAGAAATGGAGGCTCCCGAGCTCTGGGGTCCTAACGCATGGTTTCCTGAAGGAACACACTAACTTATAATGAACAAAGACACCCACACAAGAGCCATAGGTAAAAGATACAATTGATTATTCTTTCCTTTGGCTGACAACTTCCAGGTTACTAATTGTTTTCAGAGCATTCGGGGCTCCATAAAACTGGCATTCTGGGGAAATGGTATTGTTTACTCGTTCACACTTTGACAAAAGCAATTCCCACGTGAAAGACAAGTTTAGCCGTGGGACAGAGCCTGTTACCTAAAGTAGGAAACAGTCCAGAGAGTTCCCAAGCCTGAAACATTGTCATATTGTCAGGTCTTGTTGACTGCTCAGCCACCGTGTTCTCAGCCATGGCTATTTTGGTCAGTATGATTTGTTTTCCAATAGTTCATACAAGACACTTATAATGATCAATCATAAATGAAAACAGCAGAGCAGTACATATTAAACTGGAGCGGGGGGGGGGGGGTGATCACTTTCCCCTCAAATGCAAGCTTGAAACAAGAAACATAATTTGTCTTGATTGAAAAATAATGTGTATTTTTTAATGATTCTGATCTCTGCTTTTGTAGTTTTGCTATTTCTTAATCTCCAATAAAATCCTATTAACATAGGTATATGGGGAAGTAGACTTTTTTTAGTGGGCACACTTTTAGATTTACATTTAGAAGAATGCCTTAAACTTAAACTTCTGGTCACAATGGCCTTTATTTGTTTAATAATTGATTGTGGAACACATTAGAATGCTGTTAATTAAACAGGACAAAGTTCTTTAAAAGGCTAACCAGGGGACAAAAATATTCAAACCAAAGGCATGATCCTCTTTCTTTCAGGACCGCTGGCTGTTTAGTCCACTCAGGAGCAGTGAGGAGGAAACTGGCCCCTGCTCTGGTTTAGCAGCTCCCAGAATTGCATAAGACCAGAGTGAGCTTGATTTGGGTGGATTTTCCTGATTCATACTGTGATAAACCTTTAACACCTCTGAATTATACCAACACTTGCACCCATGAGACCCATTTTAGAGCTCCAGTTTAAGATTAATGTGCTTAATGTAAAAAAAAGCATTTTCAAATAAATAAGCATTATAATGTGCTATCCAGGTGCTATTTACAAATGAAAAACAGACGAATTAATACAAAACAGAACCAGGCAGAGGTCCGACAGAGTCTCAAATTCACTGTACTCATTCTGAGCTGTGGAAAATTAACTTATACATGTCCATCTTTGGCAGAAACCAGCGTCTGTTTAAATTATTCAGTTTGTGCAGCTTTGAAACTTAAAAATAAAAAGAGGTTGGCATCAAAGTGGAAGGAAAGGATCAGCTTCCAGTTGTTGTTTATCAGGCAGGAGACAGCAAAGAGCAAAAGCACAGAGCGCGCCTGCCGGGATCCTCCAAATCCAAACGCGCACAGGTCACCAGGTGGGTCCCAGGGAACCTCAGCCTGATGGGGAGCCCCGCTTGGGCCTGGGGTTCGTTATTACTCCCATCGTCTCCAAACTCATTTTGGGAGGAGCATCTCCTCTGAGCCAGAAAGTTAGCAACAGTGGCAATAAATCAAGATGATATGAGACAACTGTTACTTTTGAATGTCCTTTAATGTTTTACATTACTTTGTGTGGTACAATCATTCCTTGTGCTTTTAAATTTGGAGATCCGAGAGAAAGCAGCCTTTTTGTTGCAGTGCTCACCTCTAACTGTAACTTCTTTCTTCTGAAGGGTGTCTTCCCCTGTGAATATGTTCCTGGCTCTGCACGCATAGGTGCCCGAGTCGTCCACGGACACATTCTTGATGAGGAGGTGGAGCGTAACGGAGTGCTCCGTGGTGATGGCCGTTTTCTGTCTGCGGATCCTGTAGTGTGCGCTCCGGTTGTTAGCTGTCCGCAGCTGAAGCCAAGTGATGTCTCTGTATAAGTACTTGCTAACTGTGCAAGATAGTTTCAGGTCCTCTCCTTCGGTAGGCATTTTTTCCAAGTGAACGTGGAACCCATTTGGCACATCTATAAAATAAGAAAAAAAACTTTGGTTCACAGGAAAACCAACATGTCATACGGAGGCCATATCTTATCAGGAGATATTCAAAGAGCTGCTGAATTGTTCCTGCAGAGATTCTCTCAGCATCAGCATGAAGAGAATGACTATTTACCTGTTTATTTTAGAGAACTGCTCAATCAACAGCAGGGGGAACCAACTAAGTTCATGCCACCAGAAGCAGGAAGTGCCATATTGGACAGTGAGTATGATAGAACATTTTTCTTTTTTGCCTCAAACTGCTCTTCAAAATTGAATTGTCTTGTACAACCTGGGGTGGTAACTACATTTCCCATTTCTTTACCATGGACAGAACTACTGGTAAATGGACAAAATAGTAAATTGAGAATAGCAATTTGTACTAAAAATCAAATATTCTTTTATCATCAAATGTACCCCAAAGAAGTGAAAGCAAAACTAAGAAGTCTTAGGTACATGTTAAGAGATCCAGTCCTAAGAGAAACCAAGATGGCGGCATAGGTAAATGCCTAACTGCAGCCTCGCACAACAATTTCAAAAAAATACAACTAAAATACAAAATGGACATTATCCAGAACTACAGGGAAGGTGACTGACTGGAAATTCTACAACTAGAAGGAAAGAGAAAACCAGAAGGAAAATCAGAGGAGCTGTAAAAGCCTAAGGTATAGAGACACGGTGCGCCTGTGAGGAGAGGACAGAGCCGGAGAGGAGGGGGCGGCTGAGTGCCTGGCTGGCGTTCCCTAGCAGGAAGGAGATAAAAGCTTCAGACTGTGCTGAACCCCAGTTCCGACTGCACTGATCTCTAGTTCTGGATGAGACCCTGGGGACCCAGGCTCATACAGAGGGAATCTAGACTGTAAGGTGGAAACTCAGGGGAGCGGCAAAAGGCAGAGTCCCTGAGGCACGCACGTTGTGCACAGAGTACGGACTGTTGACTGTGCCATTGGATTGCCCTAGCAGGAAGGAGACAAAAGCTCCAGACTGCTCTTAACCACACTTCCATCCCCACTTCCAACTGCACTGAACCCCAGTTCCAGGCTCATTGGGGGAGAGACTAGACTGTCTGGTAGCAGGTGAAACTCGAGGGCACCTTTCTCTCAGAGGTGCTTGCAGCAAGTACCAAAGGACACTGAGGAACACTGAAATTCAGAAACCTCATAGGGTGCGGCTGACAGGAAGCCAAGGCTGCAGACTCCAGCCTGAAACTCCGCCCCATCCAAGCTGAGCACAGAGGCTTTTGCAATTTTCCAAGTCTAGTTGAATAAGGCTATCTCCCGGCATAGACACAGCTGATCCTCACAGCCAATTGGCCTGGAGGTCAGTTCCTCCCAATGATACCAACAACAATCAAGACTTAACTACAATAAGGCTGTACACACAGTCCACAAAAGGGTGCACTAAGAGTGTCCACCTCAGGTAACTGGGAGGCTGACCCACTGAACCATATAGGACATCTTAGCACACAAAGCCACCCTACCAACTCAGGGAAGCAGTGAAAATGCTGAGACAAGGAAACAGATCACAAACAAAAGAAATGGAGGACAAAAAGTGACTGAATATAGAGTTCAAAACCACAGTTATAAGGTTTTTCAAGAATTTCCTAGAAAAGGCCGATAAAATAAACGAGACCTATGAGGATATGAAAAGGGATCAACTAGAAATAAAGAATACATTGTCTGAAATAAAAAAATATTATACAGAGTCCTAAAAACAGAATGGAAGATCGCAAGAATCAAGTCAAAGATTTGGAACATAAAGAGCCAGAAGACACTCCTCCTCAAAAGCAAGAAGACAAGAGAATCCAGAAAGTTGAAGACAATATAAGAAACCTATGGGACAACTTCAAGCTAACCAACATCAGAATTTTGGGGGTCCCAGAAGATGAGAGAGAGCAAGACACTGAAAACCTATTGGAAAAAATAGTGACAGAAAACTTCCCCCATCTGGTGAAAGAAATAGACTTATAAGTCCAGGAAGTGCTCTGAACCCCAAACAAAAGGAATCCAAAGAAGACCACACCAAGACACATCATAATTAAAATTCCAAGAGCAAAAGACAAAAAGAGAATATTAAAAGCAGCAAGAGAAAAGCAGTTGGTTACCTATAAAGGAGCACCCATACGACTGTCAGCTGATTTCTCAACAGAAACCATGCAGGCCAGATGGGAATGGCAAGAAATATTCAAGGTGATGAATAGCAAGAACCTATAGCCAAAAATACTCTACCCAGCAAAGCTATCACTCAGAATCAAAGGCCAGATAAAGAACTTCACAAATAAAAAAAAGCTAAAGGAGTTCATCACCGCCAAACCAGAATTATATGAATTGTTGAAGGGTTTTTTTTTTTAAGAAGAAGAAAATAAAGATAAAAATTATGAACAACAAATACGTAACTATCAACAAGTGAATCTAAAAACCAAGGAAATTAAAAAAAAACAAACTGATGAACAATATTAACTGTTGAATATAATAGAATCAGAGGTATGGAAGGAAAGTGAACTAAGGATTCTTGGGGAAAAGGGGAGTGGGGGGTGCGGGAAGAGACTGAATATAAACTGTGCACCTGGATGAGGACAATGGAAGGTGGGGAAAGGGCAGAGGGTGGGGTGGGAGCAATAGAGGGGGGAAAAATGAGGAACATTTGTAATAATATGAACAATAAAGATTTATTAAAAAAAAACACACACAAAAAAGGAGATCCAGTCCTGCCAGTCAACACCACTGCGATCCTCACGTATCCAGTAAAAGAGTGACTGACTCCCCAAGCTTCCTGCACTGAGTGGCTAGCATCCTCCTAGCTGCTGTCCCACTCCCTTGCTTGCTCTTTGCTGGCACGGTGGGCAGAGTATGCAGAGAAGAGCCAACTTACTTGTTCAGGTTCCCTACTGGTGGTTGTTCCACCCAGTCATAAAGAGAAAAGATGTCTTCTGAAAATGTGGACAACTAATCTGGAAGAGTTGCTGGATTGCAATATGGGGGCGATTGTGGGAGGGGAAAATAATTTTAAAAATCAAAAGCTTCTGAAAGTGACTGTCATTAAAAGCCATTTTCTCCAATGTTCAGTCCCAACTAACCTTCATCTCCATCTCTAAGTGCCTCTGGCACCACCTCCTGAGCTTTCCTCCTGAGCTTTCTTACCCTGGACCATCATTTAGCTTTTGTCTTGAGAATTCCTAGTCTCATTTTATATAGACCGTGTCACCGGAGGATTCAAAAAAACCATTGGCTACTGGCCCTGAACTGATCTGCTCTCAAAACCCTTGCATTGACTGTTACTAGTTGTGTATCTGTATTTGAGCAAAGAATTTGGGCCAACATTTTACAAAGTACTTTGAAGATGAAAAGCACTATGTTATGCTATTATTATTATTATCCTTTGGACACAAAGCTATAAAGAAACCTTTAAACCTTAAAGGGACAATAGTCCAAAATTAGATATCATATCAACTCTTTCCTAAATCTCACTTTGCTTGTTTTTCTGATTTTTCTGGGCTTTGGCTTTATTATAGAGTGTCACGTCTGAAGAAATGCCAAAGTATTCATTTGAAACCTGGGAGGGGGGTAACAGTGGCTTATGAAGCTGTTAGTAGTTGGAAAGAGAGACCAGTGGAGGTTTTCCTGCTTTAAAAATGAAAACCTAAGGATGTGCCAGAAGATGCAGAAGCAGCTGACAATCATTTTTAAGTTAACAATAAGATGTCTGAAATAGCCCCTGTAACTTAGAGTCATTTTATATTTGGGACATTTTCCAAGCATAAGGATTAAATCAGCAGCCATCAACTTTTACACACATACTAGAACAGAAGTAGGGTATACTGGTTTCAATCAAATCATTTATTTAAAGAGCACTGACTCCATTTATGAGGTCTCATCTGGTATTAGAACCTAAGTGAGCCCAAGACACACTATTGAGAGCAAGTAGAGTTTCTATTTACTTCAGTGATTTGAAACTTCCTGTGGAAATTAGCTCACAGGTTTCCTGATGGAAGATTTTGTTTATCTTTGCCAAGCACCACCAGGAATCTCAAAATAAAATTCATTTAGTGACATTGGGAAGCCAGGGAGATAAGGCAGGGCTGTTCCTGTTTCACACTCAGTAATTGCTAACACACCCATAGTCATGCTGAGTGCCAGCAAACAGCAAAAACACACACATAAGAAAAGACCCAAATAGGTTTTGAGGTCCATTTCCCACATGGTGGGCACTGTCATTGAAGCTAATTTGGTTATCAGACAGCCTCTTAGAAATGATTACCTATTTCTCAGCATCACCGATTTGGTATTCTCTTTTGATCCATAGAAAAGAATAAATAAAATGTCCTAAAATGAGTCAATGAATCTAGAGGGATTTTTCTCCTTAATTCATGTTGATTTTTGTTGTTGTTGCCTGAGTACAAAAACGAACCCAAGAAAGAATTGCCTTCTAACACTCAGAGTGAAAACAAGAAATCTTCCCACACTTAAAGTATCTGTTGAAGATTCAGCACAAGCATCATCAGCACCAACTAACACTTACCTATTACATGTATCACACCCATGGTGGTTTATGAGGTGTCAAGGAGAGGAATCAGCACTAATGAGGAGACACATTCAGCCTAGGGTTAGGTGAGTCATTTAGTCTCAAAGCGGGTAGACATTTAGACTTGGTTGGTCAAGCGAGTGAATTGAATTCATAAAAGAGGCAAGCATAGAAATGAAAAAGATGAAAGGTGCCTCATTTGTCAGGTGGGGATAAAGAAGGCTTCTCTTCTAATGGAGACTAGTAATAACATTCTCTTAAAAAAAAACAGTGAGTGGTTACTAGAAAGTTTTGCTTTTTCAAATAGTTACCTGTGTACACATAATGGCACAGTACAGAGTCGAAGCAGTGGAGGGTTCTAGTGGCCACAGGTAACTACTTTTCATTAGTTTGGAAGGCAGCTGTAAGTTATTATTATACTTTAAGGGGCAACATGATGGAAATGAGTCTCAATAAAGATCCAACTCCAGATCTAGATTTAAAGCAGTTAAATTTCAGACAGGTCTTTTAAAGCATTATCTGCACCAGGTCCATGAAGAAACACAGAAAACAGACATGTAAGGTGCATCGTACGGAACATTATTCAATCTCATCTCTAGCAAGGGCAAGTCTCATGACAGAAATTTGACTAAGAAAAAGATAATTAGTTTTAAAATAATGAATGCAAGCAAATGAATCTGTTATCACTAATCTTATCACCAACTAGAACTTTTCAGAACTGGTAGACAATAATTCAGAGAAATTATATTCCAGGAAAAGGAAGCTTGATTGGCTGACTTTGTGCTCAGATGAAGGTTAAGGTTCCTGAATTCCTAGAGGAAAAATGGCGAGCGTTCTAGCAGGTATATTTGAATTGAATTCTCATTGCTCCTTTCTGTGGACAAGCCTTGAGATCTAGGAAAGGTCTCAACCACTCCATGGTTATTAATTGTGTAAAGTGGTGGGAGGTGAGGGGGAATTTCTGAATTCAGCTGATTAGCTTGATGGGCACCTGTCAGCAATAAACCATGCATGGACATATGATACGACAAGGAGAAACTCAGGGGGACGGAGAGGCGAGGTGTTGGTGCTGCAGTTCATGCTGGGCACCTTTCCTGGGGGTGCTGAACGATATAGAAATGAGCATGCCATTCCCCTCCACTCTGGGAACATCCGCTTCCAGTGCTACCTTCAGACTCAGGCAGGAGGGGCTCCCTGTCCTGGGACTGTGGATGGCTCTGACTGGCCGTCCCTCTTCACAATGTAAAGAGTCTGTGGCCCACCCAGAGTCTATGCTAACCCCACTTCTAGGTCTTTCCTGGGGTCTCTGGGATCCCAGAATTCCCTGTAGAAATTATCCCAAGTCTGTTTCCAGACTGTCTCAGCCTCTTTCCTCTTCTCGAGGTCTGTCCTTCTGATGTCAGACCACTTGTCCTGGGGCACACTTCTAGGTCCCAGGGAAGACTGTTCATGAGGGGTGTGGACAGAATTTGGATGTCAGGGAAAATTATCTTCTTTCTCCCTGTTCAGATGCACACCTCCCTCAGTGCCACCTCAAATCCTGGGACATTTTGCATCCTGCTTTCCTCTCAGAGGCTTCCAGCTACACTGTGTAGTACAGAACTCATAGGACCATGTGGCTATTGAGCATTTACAACATGGCTAGCATGACTAGAGAATTTCATTCAAGTCTTTATTCCAATTAATTTAAAAATGGAAGCAGTATAATATTTTTTAAAATGTCAATGACATCTTGAGGTGACAATATTTTGAGTATATTGGGTTAAGTAAAATTAATTTCACATTTATTTTTAAAAATATGGACACTAGAAAATTTTAAATTACATTATATTTCAATTGGACAGCATTGGCTTACCATTGGTAAATTTGTCCATCACACTATTTCTGCACAAACCTTTGGATACTAGGATATATATACTTTCTGCTTTGTCTCCTGGGTGTTAAAATGTCTTTCTAGAAAGACAGGGCTTCACTGATATCTCTGCATGTGACAGTGCAGAGTTGAGTGAGACTATCTAATAGCAGGTGCTGCTAAACGTGTACAAATGTGTTGACTGCTCAGAACAGAACAGGAGTTGCTCAGTCTTTTGTCCTCTAAATCACACATATAGTGGCTATAGATTTGGGTTACTTGTTTCTAACCAAATATCCAGGACAATACAAACCTTGGTATTTAATTAGTCGAAATCATCTGAGATTGCATCTGTGTGAAATTGCTCTCTGAATCCTTGAAAGAAAGGGTTTTCCTACTTGGAATGGATGCGAAGATGATTTCCCTTCCACCTCTCAAATCTGAGAGAACAGGGACTGAAGCAGTCTAGAGCAGCTCTGCCTCCCCACGTCTCCAAAGCCATTTCCTCATCTGGGGACCGCAGGGCTAGAACGCCTCTGAATCTCCCCCAGCTCCGCTGCTCTGTGACAGCCTCTCAGGGCATCTCCACGGCAGAGGGTTGGCTGACTCGCCAGAGGCTCCCTGTGAGCTGACAGCTCACGTGGTCTCATGAAACCAGACCTGTTCTTTCTTTCTGGAGAACTCCAGGCAAGTACTGCAGCCTGCCTCATGCAGTGCGAAGTTTCCCGAGTTGGCAAACTGCCCAGGCTTCCTCAGAAATTGGGGAGTGTGGAGCCAGGCAATTGTTTTTATACTTTGAGCTACTTACTTCCTTCCTGTACCCATGGAGGGACATAGGGAGTGCCATTTGTGTACCTTGGAAGTTTTAAGATTTGCAGGATGGTCCTATTTAAGGCTAAAAATTCTTAAATGCTACCAAAAAAAGAGTACATTAGTTATTGTCAACAAAGCTCAGCTTCAGATTTCTATAGGAGAGCCTCATTTCCCAAAAAGTTAAAATAAAGTTGTGAAACAATTAGCTTTCTGGTTTTAAAAAATGTTATCATATGTATTATAATTTATTTCCTTGATTATTCTTTTTTTTAAAAAAATCCTTATCCTGGGCTATATGTTTATTGATTTGAGAGAGAAAGGGAGAAAGGGAGAGGGAAAAGGAAAGAGAGAGAGAGAGATTGGTTGTTTCCCATATGCCCCCCCCTCCCCCCACTGGGAATCAAATCCACAACTTTTTGGAGCACAAGATGGTGCTCTAACCAACAGAGCCGCCTTGCCAGGGCTCCTGGACTACTCTTGAACAACCACTGGGTGCCAGACCCTGTGGCAGGTACTGAAGGGAATAAAAAATGAATATGACAAGATCCCACATTCACAACCCAGCCTGGGAGCCAGACATCCACAAATGGTTCTAAAAGAGAATTCAGAGAAACTATTCTTTAGAAGATTCAATGATGGTACTGTTCCTAAGGGCAAAGATGAAATTATTCAAGTTTAACAATTCTATGGAGTGTTTTCTTTAAATAAAAACCACTCTATGTATGAGTGCACTAAAAGAAACAAGATTTGAAGAGAGACTGAGGTCACCAGGTTGTTTTTGTGAGTATAAGGTATGTAGCTTACCTGTGATATAAAACTTTATGTTTCTTTCCACAGTCCCTACTTTATTGGAAGCCATGCAGGTGTAGATTCCAGAAATTCTAGAGTCAGCCACAACCAAGGAGCTAGCGGTCTACAAAAGAAAAGGAAATTTCAGCTAGTGATAGGACAAAAAACCATTTGAACATCCATCAGCTACTTCTGAGGGTTGAAATGATTCAGCTATTTCATTCATTCAACCAAGATAGTAATTGCATAAGTAGTGGTTACCAGAAGGCTCTCCCCTTTCCGAGCTCCAGCAAGAATGGAAAAAATAACAGGAAAGCAGGTCCTCAGGAGACCGGGGGCTATGACATCCGACTCGGACAAGGGCTTCAGGCTTATTTATCTCATGCTGCTGGCGCAACAATTACAGACCTGAGGCTGAGGTGCGGGACTGCACGTCCTACTCTCTGAGCGGTCAGTCCATGTGAATGAGAGCACCAGGGGAGGCGGAGTCCTTTTGTCGGGCTGACCTGAGCTCGTGGCTGCTATTGGGAACAGGAGCCTTAGCAAGGACAGAGGAGAAGGTTGGCTGAACCATGTCTTTCATGTGCTCTTAGAATGTGGCACTGCAGCCCGATGGTGCTGAGGCGAGGCAGGAGAGCTCACTAGGCTATTGTGTGTGTTTGTAAATTACTTCATTTCTCAGTCTGTCAGTTCCTTATCTAGGAAATGAAGATATAGGCTACAAATTAATACACTATAGTTTCACTAGACTTTAGTGCTGCTATTTGACAAATTAGCCCCTGAAAAGGCAATCGGAGTCAAATGTGTATGAATTTTAAAGCACTTTACAAACTGTGATATTTCAAAAGTACTGAAAAACACATTTATACAGCTTAAAGGCTTGCATTGCTATCTTCTTTTAAAGATTAAAAATTAGTTAGATGAAAAAATATTAGTTTTAAAACCTGACCCAACCTTACAGAAAACAAAATACATACTATATAGGAAGATACATACTATATAGGAAAAACAAAAAAGTAAGTTTTTAATATTTAAAATTATTTTGAAAATGTTGATACAATTACTTATAAATGATTGCAGCCTATCTCCTAAGACACAGCTGGCTGGGTTTGAAGTGACAGAGGCTGTGCTGAAGCTTCCAGACTTCTCGAGGGTGTCCTAGCTGAAGGTCAGTGGTCGAGTGACCTACAGGCTAAAGTAATACATGGGCTAAAATGTGACCGTGGGCTTCTTATGGTAGCGAATACAAAACATCTTCACATTTTTCTGAGTTTATAAGTAATGTGCTAGGCACTTTAAGGTTCTCATATCCCATTCAATAACGTATTTCTGTCTTTATTCTACAAATTAGGAAGAATAAGACTATATTCCTCACGGTTTAGTCAAGTTCATTGCTCCCAGTTTTTTGTAATTTTCACTCTGGTATAGTGAGGATTGCATACATGGCTCCTCTTCTGTTTGTTGCATCTGTTTAATTACACATACCATATATCCTCTGTGTATTGAAAGGATTGGATATAAAAGTATCTACAATACATGACATTTTGCATTCAATTTAGCAGATATTTACTGGGCATTGTCTAGATATTTTAAGGGAAACAGGGATGCATATGACACAATCCCTATTCTTAACCTTGAAGAATATTCTTAACCATAGAGGTGATAGAGAAGAATGTCCCTACTGAAGATCAAATTCCCATTCCTCTCTTCTGCAAAGGAACACTCACACGAAGTCAGTTAAATAGTAAGAATATGAAAGGGACCTCAGGGGCCTCCCTATTTTGATCATTAATCTTTAACAGGTGGAAATAAAAAAATCCTGGGTAGCCATTTCCTTTGAATTATTGCACCTACCACCTCAGAGGCATGGGAGAAAATGAAAGTATTAATAGTTAGGAGAGAAGCTTGTGAGGTGCCCCCTCTGCAGAAGCAGCAACTGAGGTTATAGAGGCTCCATGACTCACTCAAACATACACAGCAGCACGAACAGACCTGCATATGCCACATATTATAAATACTTTTATGTCCAATCATTTCAATACACAGAGGATACATGGTATGTGTAATTAAACAGATGCAACAAACAGAAGAGGAGCCATGTATGCAATCCTCACTATACCAGAGTGAAAACTATGTTCAGGTTTGTCTGACTCCAGTGCGTATGCTCTGAATCTTTATACAGAACTGCTTCTCACCTACAAGTCTTTAAATATAATAGCATAGATTTATTGCTAGAGTTCTATTTTTTGAATTGGGTTTTTCCTCAAGAATACTTCCTTTGGACAGCAGAGATAAACCATGTAAGCTAAATGCTACATACAGGAAAGACCAGTTTCTTTCTTAGTATTTTATATAAGCTGCAAGCTATTTTTTCAATGGATACAGTGTTATAGAGTTTGAAAATATGATTGAGGAGTAAAATAAATTAAAAAGAAAAAGAAACTTGTATCCTATGATCAACTTTACTAAAAGCTATCTGATTTCTAGAGTACTTCTCTTTTTCCCCCCCAGAGAATATAACTTAAAACATATTTTGAATAAAAACAAAATCTGGCTTTAGCTAAAGTATAAATTTTATAGGATCATAAAAAAAAAAGCTCAGCTGTGAGCTGTAGGTGAGTATACAGTGTCTGGACAGAGAAAGGTAAGTCTCAATGCAGGTTTCTTCTGATTTAAAGGGACAGATACATCCCCTGGTGCTCATATGACTGTTCCAAGAGGAAAAAAAATAAAAATAGCATAACAGTTGGAACACCAAATATTAACTTAATACTTTAAAAGACAAAGTGCCAAGAATTTGAGTTGTGAAATGTATTTGAAATTATAATTTATTTTATAAGGTACACCAAAAGAAATTCTCCAAGATTTATGCTAGTATTATTTCTGTAATTAGTTTTCATTTGTCACTTTTTTTTTTTTTTTTTTTTTTTTTAGTTCCAAACCCACACTTTGGGGGTGCCTCTACTTGCCCTGCCACGACCTCAAGAATTTAGACACTAGAAACAGACTCTTAAAGGCCATTCTCGGGTTCTTTTGTATGACTCAGGAATGCTGATGAAAACTGTCGTCAGGGACTGTAAGTTTGGAAGTTATTCATATTCCTTCCTTCCCTTTCACTAAGTATTAGTCACTCATCACTACAATGTGGTTTGAGCCTCACGGAATAGAATGGATGGGATGATGTGTAATTCAGCCTAATCTTCAGCATTCGTTTACAAAAAATCTATATATGGAACAGTGATTTTAATCTTAGAATGTTTCTAATATAGTTTCCTTTTAAGTGTCTCAGAGAGAAATAAAAGTAGACAGGGAGAAAGGTCACGGAAGAATCTAAATTTAACCTAGCACGGCGCATTTGAGCCAAGTGATGGGAAAATGGAACGTGAGAATTAGGAGAAATGGGGGAATGTGTGGGAAATGCAGCACAAGCTGTAATCCTGTGTTCGGCACTAGTGCTCCGTCACGGGTTTGTCTTGTACCATGCACGCATTTCCCATTCTCACCTCAAAACAGTTTCAGTGGAAATGTTGCTAAAATGTTGTAAGGATGTCACTGTTTCCAGCCTCACAGAACTAATGCTGGGATAAGTATTTCCTGTGTGTGTGTTTTTTTCTAACACAGGGCTCCTTCTACTTCCTACTCCATATCTACAGACCCAATTAATAGCCTGGCTGCCCCATTTAAACAGTATGAAATCGCCACGTTTGCTATTAGTAACTCCATTGATGACTCACTTTTCACAAATCTAGGCCAAAACTTTCCAGTAAGGAACTGAATTTTATTGTCCCCTGAACCTTTACTTGAATTACATGGAAAAAGCAAAACAAAACAAAGAAAAAAAAATTCAAGGCCCTGAAATCGAACAGGTGCTCCAGGGAGTCCTTCACCCCTGACCTGTGGGTGTGCTGCTGGGCGTGTCGCACTACGACCACAGGTACAAGTAATGTATAGTCTGAGGTGGGACTTTACTTTCTTAAAATGTACAGAAAGTAAACATTTTAAATGTAAAGAGAAGACCAGCGCAAATCATTGTGAAATAGCAAAACTTCCCTTTGTCGTCATTATATGAAAGATAATTTTTCATACACAAAAGATATATTGGTAGATGCTAAAAGTAAAAGTGGGAAATTCTTTTGAATTTAAAATATTAAATTAATAATTTACTTAAAGATTGTATTGCAGTTGCGGCTACCAATAGGATATCATGTATATAAATATACCTATATATCTCAAACTTTGTTTAGAAAGTATTGTGTGTTTTTTTTTCGTTGCAAATAATTGTTTAACAAATAGTCTTAATTATGTATGATCACGATCAATTTTAGAATTGCATTAGGATCTATATGATAATCACCTTCATAACAACAGGCAAATTAGGTAGGGCAAATATTTCTAGCTCCATTTTTTGGAGGAGAGAACACAGTTCAGAGAGGTGAACTGGCTTGCATGTCTTTATACAGAAAGTGGCAGGAGCTGGGTCCCAGGGCTGGACTGCATGTGGGGTTGCACAAGTGCCACTGGGTCTGGTCTGGAAATCTTTATTTAAAACCTTTGCAACTCTACAAAATTACATGTAAATCAGGGAAGTTCCTTTTCTAACCCTGGTTTTGTTACCTCATTCCCACCATTTCTCACAGTTATTCTCTATGGAGTCAGGTCGCCACTTCATGGGTCAGGCTACTTACAGCCTTCACATAGCTTTCTCATTTTCCATTTTCTTTTTTATGGAGTATTTTTGTGGATAGGATATCAAAATAGGGCTAGAAGTTACCACATAAATTAAGTTTCTAAGATCTGTTTTAATATCCAGCAGTTATGGTCAGGAAAAGGCAAACGAAGCTGACACAATCAGTGCCATCTGGAAAATTTCTAGTACTGTGTGACAACTAACTGGATTTCTATCTTGAGGCAATTTCCTTTTATTTTTTATTTTTATGTAGTCACAAATTTAACTTTCAAGTTTATAGAATTTCCTCTTTCCTGAGTATTTCACTAAACAGCTCTCTCATCAATAGTTACACATCAGGGAATATTTTAAACTACCGTTTATTTGTATTAGAACAAAAATTTTAAGCCACCTACTACTCCTGTTAGTTATAAAAACATTTCCTGAATCCTTGACAAATGATTGCTAATAGCATCATGCCAGCGTCACCATTTGAACTGATTTCTGTATTGGCTTAAGTTGGCAAAGGCCTGGGTTTGGGAACAGGAAGACTCTGGTTTGAAGTTTGCATTTTCCTCTTTAAGCTGCATGGCTTTGAATTAATCATCCTATCACCCCAGTTTTTCTTATCTTTAAAATGGAGATAACCATTTTGGTCAGCCTAAGAGTGACATTGACATTAGCACATGTCAAAAAGTGTCACACAGTGAAGAATTCAGATGTTACTTGTTATTATTGTCAAATCCTCCATAGAAAATGATGCCATCTACTTTGTCACCTTCAAGTGCAAAGAATACAGCTCCATAAATAGATAACATAGACAATCACTCTCCAGCCGATGGCATTCATAGTAATAGACTACTCCAAATCAAGATATGCAAGTAGAAAAAGACATTTTAGCAAGGGGTTATTATATATAAAAAAGTAATTATTAAATTACTTAGTGGTAATATATATATTATTTTTTAAATTACCACTAACCCATGCCTGTAATCAAAGTTTTTTAGTGTGTATTTTTTCACTAATTCAATAATAATAAAAAAAAAAGCCACTAGGTCTGAGATCCACTGATATTTGCATGGTTCACAAAGTGTCAGCTCTGCTAAGGCTCAGCGGAGGTTAGGGGAGTAGAGAATGAATAGTATAGGATGGCAGAAAAGATGCCTGCTAGACCCTGGTGAGATCGGAAGATTTTTTTTTTTTTTTTTTTTTTTTTTTTGTGGGAGGAAGGATTGAAGCGTCTCTCTCTCTCTCTCTCTCTCTCTCTCTCTCTCTCTCTCTCTCTCTTTTTCTCTTTTAATAAGATATAATTGACATACAACATTATATTAGTTTTGATGTATAGCATGATAATTTGATATTTGTATATATTACAAAATGATCACCATAACAACTCTAGTTAACACCTGTCACCATATATAGTTACAACTTTTTTCTTGTGATGAGACTTTTAAAATCTACTTTCTCAGCAACGTTCACATATGCAATGCAGTGTTACCACTACAGTCACCACGCTGCACATTATGACCCCAGGACTTTTTATTTTATTTTTATTTTTAAAATATATTTTATTGATTTTTTACAGAGAGGAGGAGAGAGGGATAGAGAGCTAGAAACGTCGATGAGAGAGAAACATTGACTAGCTGCCTCTTGCACACCCCCTACTGGGGATGTGCTGGCAACCAATGTACATGCCCTTGACTGGAATTGAACCTGGGACCTTTCAGTTTGCAGACCGACGCTCTACCACTGAGCCAAACCAGTTTCGGCAGGACTTTTTATTTTAACTGGAAGTTTACACCTGTTGACCTTCTTTACCCATTTTACCCACCCCCATCCTCTGCCGCTGGCAATGACTAATCTGTTCTCTATCTATGAGTTTGTTGTTTGTTTGTTTGTTTTAGATTCCACAATAAAGTGAGATATTTGATTTTCTCGATTTATTTCAGCATAATGTCCTCAACATCCGTCCATGTTGTCACAAATGGCAAGATTTCATTTGTTATTATGGCTAAATAATATTCTGTGTATACACACCGTATTTTCTTTATTCACTCATCCATTAATGAACACTTAGGTTGTTTCTGTGTCTGTGCGTAATGCTGTAATGAACACAGAGGTGCATCTATCTTACTGAGTTAGTATTTTCATTTTCTTTAGATAAACACCCAAAAGTGGGATTGCTGGATCACATGGTAGTTCGATATTTAATTGTTTGAGGAACTCCATACCCTTTTCCATAGCCGCTACACCAATTTACATTCCCACCAACAGTGCACAATGGTTCCCTTTTCTCCACATCCTCAACAACACTTGCTATCTCTTGTCTTTTTGATGATAGCCATTCTAACAGGTGTGAGTAGTATCTCATTCTGGTTTTGATTTGCATCTCTTGAGTCAGAGAATCTTGGGATTCTGTGTGTTTGTATACCCTAGTGTTAGTCAGGCTTTGCCTTTGCAAAGACTGAGGGGAAAATAAGATATTTTGTGGGATGGGAGCACTCCATATCAGCTTTTGCTTATTGCTATCCCGCTTTATTTGTGGAAGTGAGTCTCAGTCCTGGTTACATGCCAGAATCTGCTGTGAGCTTTCATGAACCTTGGGCTCTACCCAAGAGATTCTAAAGTAATGATAATTGGGAGAGTATTCGAATATGCAGCCAGGGTTGAGAACCACTGATGTGGACAAGCCTGATGTTCAACAAGCAGTTCCACCCCTTCTACTGGGACAGTGGACTCATTCCTTGGGACTGGTGAGTGGTTGGAGAATACCACCATGTGAGTGACCTCAGTGCATCTCTCCATGAAGAGGTATCTCAATATCTTCTTCTCTCTGGACTTTTGTTTGAGCTTTTGAGTGATTTCTGGTCCTAATAAACCCAGAGCCAGGGAGCTGAGTGTGTGTGTTTAAGAATAAGTATCCCAAAGTTTATTTTTACAAAGAATACCTTATTTTTTCCTTCTATGATTGCCGTGCGTTGAGTGATACTCTCAATTCTGTTTCCTATGAGGCTGTCAGGATCCAGGATATAGGACTCTTCATTATTGGAGCAAAAGTCATACCTATTTTTTAAAAAAATAAGTCATTACTATGTTGCTTTGCAGCATGGTCCAGACCAAGGTGAAATGAAAATCATTAGACAAGTGCTCGGGCAACAAAAGCACACTTTCTCTTTTCTTTAGATTTTCCCCAATATTCATTCTCATAACTTAAAAATAGCAAATCTATTTTGCCTGATCTGAAAAACCCACATCAAGGTATCTCCAAACGTCCTTCATATTCTGAATATTAAATATGAAACAAAATGCATAAATTAGAAAATTTAATATATAGATTTTAATTAGCTCCTAGTGGAGGAAATATGCAAACCAGAAAAAAAATGAAGTTATGTTAATGAATGGAAACATCAAAGAAATCACATCTATATAAGGCTGGCTGCTAATCAGAACATTCCATTATGCAGGTAACTTTTCCCAGGCTAATTAAGTGCATATGCAAGCACACATGATGGAGCAATTATTAATTTCAGTCTATTTCTTTTCAAGTTTGGCGGTTTCATGATAAGCTCTTCAACTTCTTAGGCCTCAAGTATTTAATTATAAAATAAGAGTTTGAAGTTGTTTATCTTTAAGATCTATTTTTATTCTAAAAATTCATGAAATCTCTCTTATTATTTTGAACTAGCTACTTGAGTACCATTTGAATAGCCAGATTATTATGATCTCTGGATACATAATAATCTGGCCACTCAGTGTATATCCTATATAATAAAAGGTTAAAATGCAAATTGTCCCCTTTACCAGGAGTTTGACCAGTAGGCAGGCCGGCCAACAGCTCATGTCCCCTCTCCCTGGCCAGGCTGGCTGGACCCCACCCATGCATGAATTTATACACTGGGCTTCATATATATATATATATATATATATATATATATATATATATATATACACACACACACACACATACACACACACACACAGACACACAGACACACACACACACACACACACACACACACTGAGTGGCCAGATTATTATGCATTCAGAGATCATAATAATCTGGAAGTTAACATGTTTTCTCAGACACATTATTATCAGTAAGCTTCTGTTTTCATATGGTTTGCTATGCATATGAAATATAGTTATTGCTCATTTATTATGTTTTATGTATCCTACATCCTACATGAATAAAAAAAACCCAAACAACAAAAAAAGACATTTAAGTCCATGCTGACTGGGCAGTAAACTAGTATCTTAACTGGCCTTGCTGCCTTCTGGCTTTTTCCACTCTTCCAACACCCACCAAACTGCGTCAGACTAACCCCTGCATGTTCTGGTTTTCAGTGAAATCCTTTTTGTTCCAAAAGCTTTAACAACTGGACTGTAGAAATTTCAGGCTTTTTTTGGTCTGATGGTCAAGGCCATCTACAGTCCATCCCTACCTGCTTTTCCAAACGTAACCTATAAGAAGCCCTTTGTTCTGGTAAAATTGTGCTTTGGTTTGGTTATTTCAGAGTACTGGGCCAGGAGTCAGAGGGGACTTAGGTCCTAGTCTTGCCACAACTTCTAACTGTATGACAAGTTTTCTCTTCTGCAAACTAAATATACTTGCCTTGTTAATCTCACAGGATTATTTAAGCATTATATGGCTTAATTTACTTGCAGACATTTTGTAAATTAAAGACACAGAGGAAAGTAAGGAATTATCCTCCCCATATCACAGGGGTATGCCATGTGCACTCAGATCCCTTCGTCTTCACTCATGTAGCTACCATGGATTAGGCACCCCCACCATCCATAACGTGGTCTTGTCTAACAGCTTATTCTGACCATTGTGACCCCTCATTGCTCTCACTTAACACTCATTGAGCTTATAGCAAGTTCACCTTAAAACATCCCTCGATATTTAAATACGAATTTATTTGAGATAGTGCAAATAGAGATATATTTTAGGTGCCTCAAAACTGTATCTGTCAGGCTCCCAAGGTTTGGAGAGATGTGCCTGCAGGAGCCTGACTCGATTCCCTGCAGCCACCCTCAGCCAGCCATGCCTCTGTTGCCGATGAATTACAGTGTAGATTTTTCTGTTTACTTGCACAGGGACCATTTCTCTGAAGCATTTTTAAAATTTATATATATATAAATTAGCTAGTGTTAGTCAGGTTTTGCTTATATATATATATAGTTTTCAGAGAAGAAGAGAGAAGGGGGAAGGACACATCAATGATGAGAGAGAATCATTGATTGGCTGCCTCCTGTATGCTCCACACTGGAGATCAAGCCTGCAACCTGAGCATGTGCCCTGATAGGAAATCGAACCTTGACCTCCTAGTTCATAGGTTGATGCTCAACCACTGAGCCATAGAGGCCAGACTCACTGAAACATTTTGTATTGTTACCTTTTGGACTGGAATTTGTGGTGAACAGAAAGTTTGCTGGGCTTTATTTTGTACACTAGAGGCCCAGTGCACGAAATTCATGCATAGGGGTGGGGAGGTATTCCTTAGCCTGGCCTGCACCCTCTCCAATCTGGGATCCCTCTCGCAATCCAGATCCACTGGCTCCCAAGTGCTCACCTGCCTGCCTGTCTGATGCCCCTAACTGCTCCCATGCCAGCCTGATGGCTGAACTGCTCTCCCCTCCTGTCCTGATCCCTCTAACTGCCCATCTGCTCTCCCTTCCTCTCTGTGCCTTCAGACCCTGGTGCAGGAGTGCTGAGAGCTGTCCGCTGAGGTCCCGCCCCCATCCTGACATCCCCCCTCCAAGCTGGGTGGCTCAGTGGTCCTGTGTGCACCTCCACTAGGGGGGTTGTCCCTGTCCTGATGCCCCACTCTGGGCCAGGTGGCATGGTGGGCCTGAGGGCGCCTTTGCTGTGGGGGCCACCGTGGCAGGCCTACTGGGGGGGGGCACCACAGCCTGTCCTGATGCCCCCCTCGGGTTTGGGCAACATGCAGGCCTGCATGTGCTTCTGCTTGGGGGGAGGATGCCCCTGTCCTGACGCTCCCTCCGGGCCAGGCTGTGCAGCGGGCCTGCATGCACTCCACCAGGGGGGCTGCCCCCAGTGGCAGCCTCATGTCCCAGTGGCACAAGTCCCTGCCTCGTCCCTGCCCACCAGCTCCTGTGCGTGTACAGCCTGTTGAACCGTCATGACCGGGACACTGTTAAGACCAATTAGCATATTACTTCTTTATATATATAGAAGATTTTAGAGATTTGGGTAGATTTTAGAGATTTTGAAACCAGGAGGATCTTTTTAAGTCCAATTTCCAGAAAGAATTGAGGGGTTGATCTTAAGGAGCCAAGGGCAGCCATGACTTATGTGAGATGAAGGTGAGAAGATAAAATAAGCAAGAAAAAGGGAAGACAGAAGGGATTGCAATGGCCAGGAGAAAGTTCCGTGGCTGTTTCTCTTGGCCCTGGAGCCAAGGAAGGACTCCAGAGTGTGACCCTATCTAGTCTTCCAGAGAGTTTCCCCTCCTGGGCATGCTGCCCGGTGAGACCCCTTCAGAGCACCCACCCTTCCTAAGTTGCCATTTAGTGCTTCCGGCCCCCTGGGCCAGCAGCGGCAGGGGAGCAGGGCCACAGGCACTTACTCGCTCTGTTCTCAGCATTAAGCGAGGGCCCAGCAGGTAATTGGCACCATATAAGCGTGTAGAAACTTATAAATAGGCATGAGATACTGATATGTTGTTTCTAATAAGAGTATTCATTTGTTTTAGTTTATGATTTTCAAACATAGTGATAAAAGACATAATGTAATGAAACCTCATATATTCACCACCCAGATTTGACTTTTATGATTTTTGCCACATTCGTTTCATTTATCCCTTATTTCTTCTTGTTTTCTATATTTTAAAGCAAATGCTAGACATCATGTCATTTTTGCCCTACAAATTTCCGTGCATATCTTCAAAAATGCTTATTTCCTAATTTAACAACAGTGTCATTATTACACCTAATAGAATTAGCAACAATTCCTTGATATTGTTTGTACCCAGTCCAAATGTTTTTAAAATGTCTGTTTTTACAGATAGAATATAAAATTAAATTAAAAAAAATTAATAAGGAGTGGCCATTTGTTGTTGTTGTTAATCATCACCCAAGGACATTTTCCACTGATTTTTTTAGAGAGTGGAAGGGAGGGGGAGAGACAGAGAGAGAAACATCAATGTGAGAGAGACACAGCAATTGGTTGTCTCCTGCATGAGTCCTGACCAGGGCCAGGAATTGAGCCTACAACTGAGGTACAATACCCTTGACTAGAATTGAACCTGGAACTCTTCAGTCTGAGGTCAATACTCTATCCACTCAGCCAAACTGGGTAGGGCAAGGAGTAACCACTCTTAAGGAATTTCTGTTAAGGATTTCTACTAGCTAATCTTATAATCATCAGGTAAAATAAGTGAAAGCAGTTTTCTTACTAATTAACTCTATTGATTAGTGTTCTCTATTGGTAGAGAAAATGGAACCAAAGAGAAATTAGACACTTTCTCCTTTACTTAAGACAATTTATTGATGAAGCTTTTAAAATCATGTTATTTTGCCCTAGTTTTCATTATTAGTATTCTGCATTTTCTTTTCTTCTTATTTGTTTGTTTTTTGTTAATCCTCACTTTAGGTTTTTCACCCCATTAATTTTTAGAGAGAGTGGGAGAGAAGGAGAAAGGGAGAGAGAGAGAGAGAGAGAGAGAGAGAGAGAGAGAGAGAGAGAGAGAGAGAGGGAGAGAAAGAGTGAGAAATGATGTGAGAGATATACATCAATCAGTTGCCTTCGGTACCCACCCTGACTGGGGCTGGGAATCGAACCCGAAGCCCTTCAGTGAGTGGGCTCAATACACATATGTATATGTAATGTATATATGTGCATTACAGGCATATGAGGCTTATGACGTGTGTACACGTCTATGAATATGTGTACACCTATATTAGTCATGTGTGTGTACTGCATATTGGGACATCAAACAACAGAAATTCTCTTAATTTCATTCTTTTCCCTTAAAGAGGGGGAAAAGATAAGAGAGGCCTCAGACAAAGATCTTAGTTTCATACTCTTGGTCTTCAGG